TTTTTTTTTGTCAATCCCGTCAATCTCCCCAACCGGAAAAGAACATGGTTCTTTCCAGCTTCCCAAGATGAAGGGCAGCCACTAAGTCCCAAGTCAAGGCTCCGAGCTGCGCTCCTTTGCGCTTCTCTTGGCTCAGCTGGATCCCAGCCTCGAGACGGTGATCGGGGTCACCCGATGCTCCGACGGGCCCGGAGAGGGAACGTCCATGTCGAGCTACGTGGCGGCGCATGAGCAGGGGCTCAGAAGTGACAAGACGCTGGGGTTTCACACCGGCTCCTGGGTTTGAAATTGTTTTTTGTTTAATATTCAATCTTTTGATACCTAGACCCTCCACAGGTGACAAAGAACTGCGTGCAGTTGAGAAGGCAATTTGTTCAGTAGGCGTGAAACATGTCTGCCCCTAGTAAATAAAATCATCCGCGTCCAACATCCTTCATGCAACCAGAGCAAAGTTCCTTGACAATTGCGGTTGTTACAAAACGAGTTCTGCCCGTTTCCGCAGATTTCTGCAACCACAACCATGACCCCGCCAAACCAAATGACTCAGATAGAACGGTCAAAAGCCGACTTCCGCCCGAGGACATTCATCCTTTAAAGATGCCTTTTAATCCCCAAAATTCGGCCCCTTTTCGAGGGTCTAGGTATGTCTATGTGTTCGTTATATATGTTGTTTTTAATGCTTAAATCGTGCTTAATTACTTTCAAACCTTTACTCCGGACGACTGAGCCCACCGACTACTCGAGCACACACGTTTCCAGCTAAGCGCCCACCTCCAGGTTCGGGGGCTCAGATCTTGGGCCTGGTCCCGGACTTCCGCCCGGAGGATGTGGCGACCCAGGGAATTGGCGTTCTCATCCAGTACGACTTGAAGAACTGGTCGACCTCGTCGGGCGTGAAAGGCCCTGAGGTCACGTCGACTTCACGAAAGGAAGGCGGAGGCGGAGGCAAAGCGTGCAGTGCGTTGGAGAGGTTTCGAGAAGTTTTAGGGGAAATGCAGCACCCTTTGGAAGAAGATCAGCTGCAGACGGGTTTCTTCATGCTGGGGCTGGATTCCTTGGAGCTCCTCCGGGTGCTTAACAGGACTGGCTGAAATTAAGTCCGTTCATCCCTGTGCAGCCGCAGCCCTTGGTTGTACTGGCATACGTTGCCTGAACTTTAAAAACCGTCCTCCACTCTTCCTTCAAACTCGTTTATGATGTATTAACAATGGTATTTCCAACGAAATTCACTCACCTGTCCTCACCTGTCCCTGCCGCATCTCAATCGCCAGGATGAGTGCGTGGGCCCACCGCGCGCTCCCGGCCTCGTTCTTGCTGGACTTCCCCAGCGTGTCGGAAGCGGCCGCCGAGCTCGAGCGGATGGCGCCCAACGGAGCCAGCGGATCCGCGGCGGATCCGGCGACGGCGACGCTGGGACCGGAGCGACGCAAATTGTCCGACGGAGTTTGTGTTGTTGTTGTTGTTGTTGCTGCATGGTGTTGCACTGTTGCTGTTTCAAAGTATCAATAGCATTCAATAGCAGTACAATGGTTAATTTGTAAATTATATATAGCATTGCTGTCAATTGCTGTTTCAGAACAATGCATTCTGCTTTGCAGTAGTTCATGTTGTTCTTCTTTTGGGCGATGCAGCGATGCTTTTTCGGAGTCCAAAGGATCACAGTCCGGATGACGAGCCCAAAGGGTGTTGTTTGCCGTGAAGGTGTTAGTTCGCAGTGCCTCTCTCTCTCTCTCTGTCTTTTTGGACCTGGAAATTGGAAAGCTTCTTGTTCCTTTGCTCCTAGTAGCGTTCTTGTTCCTAGTAGTAAGGCCAGGAGCCCCTAGTAGCGTCCTTGCTCCTATTTCAGGTAGACAAGGTAGACTCTTGATTCAAAAGTCCACCCCACTTCCTATGGGGGGAGGTGTTATGGGTTTAATCAAGAGTCTGCATTAGGGCGCCACACAATCCCTTTAGCCACCCGAAGGTTCAGGTTTGATCCGTCCATTTTTGGGTTCGTGATCACGTTCGGGTCACGTCTGGGGGAGACGTGACGAAGCGGTGACGTGATGAGACGATAAGGCTGGACGTGATGAAGGAGGTCTTTGCCGAGTTGCGATGTCCTTTGACCGAAGAGAAGCTTTCACTGGGCTTCTTCCAATTGGGCATCGACTCCTTGGAGATGAATCGCATCACCAAGAGGCCGGTTCTCACGAAAACTCCCAACGTGCACCAAGAAAGGGGGCGCACACGAACCGAACTCAACCTGGACCTTTTGACCATTCTGCCAAGGAACAATTCTAGTTTCGTTTCGGTCCGCCGGCGCGGCCGTGTCTGTTTAGATCGTTCCTTCCGTTCGAACCGGTGTCCACGAGAAGTCAAGGCTCAGTGCTTGGCTGGGCCGTGAGCTGCCCTCCACGAGCTTGCCGCTTGGTTTTGATGGCTCTGAGCATGGATTCGATGCGCTGTTTTAGTTAACTTTAGTTGTTATTTTATTTTTTTCGGAGGGTAAAGAGCTCGTTGAAAGGGGGTCATTGATGATTCTGGATTGGTTTTTCCGGCTCACCACCCCAAGACCTCCACAGGTTGGACTTCCCCTCGGTCCGAGCCTTGGCCTCCGAGCTGGACCGGCGACGGAGCGGCGGAAGCGCCGCGGCCGCTCCCGCGCGCCGGGACGGCGACGGAGCTCCGAGCGGCGGCTACGACGCAAAGGATGCGAAGGTGCCCATCGACAAGGAGCTGTTGATTCAGGCAGGCGCCGTAAACGAGACGTGTGTAGGTTACTGGCCCAAAAGATGCTGAACATGTTGAAATGATACTAAGCCCGCTTACTTCAGTGCAGTGTAGACTCTGGATGAATAGACCCTCCCTATTTGGATTTGGACAACCTCTACTATATATAGGCCGGGTTTATAAATCCTACAAGTCTACGTGATGGTTTTAGGACTTCCAAGTCCGATCGTTCGCAACATCCGCCCGCCCTGGCTCGCGTTCAAGAGAGTTGATTCGCTGCGTCCGAGCCGAGAGGTGCAGAAGAAGTTCAAAGAGAAGTACTCGTCGGCGCAGAACAAGAAGAAGATTGCCGGGCTCGTCTCCAAGTTCTCTTCCAACAAGAGTGCCTATCTCAAGGCCTTGGAACCTCTTCGCGTTGAACTTGAGGCTGGGAGCCCTTGAAACTGGTCGAGCGTAGCGCTTTTTCGTTCGTTTGGTCTAGCGATGTTGAGAACTTGGGCACATCTCGTAAGTGGATAGCTCTTAGGATTGGACCAAGATAAGAGCCCCCAAGTGGACTTTCTGTTCTTTTGTGTGTCGTTTTGCTAAGAAACTCCATGCGACTCGCGCACTCGCCCGCGCGCTCGCACGAGGGATCTGCGCTCTTGAGCTTGGGTGTCATTGAAGACTTGCAGAGCAAAAGTGTGGAGAAGGGCCGGAGAGATGTGGAGAGAAGCCTCAAGATCTTTCGTCGCTTCCAGGAAGTGTCTGAGCACGAACAGGACTGAAGATGGTGTGTCACTTTTTTGATGTTGGATTCTCCGGTCACTTCTGAGATCAAGATTTGTTCAAGCTATACAACGCACCCTCTTGACCCAACTTGAATCCTGACTCCTTGGGAAGGAAGTCCTGAAGTTGCTGGATTTGCTACCAGACATTGGATCAGAAATGGTGCGGACCTGCGATAGCTGCGATATCCTTGGGAGAAACAACCCCATCTTTCAAGGGGTAGATCATGATGGATTGTTGTTGTTCTCTGAAAAACCTGTCATGGTTTGACTAATCCATAAAAATGCACTGACCAGTCTCAGTACCTTTTCCTTCAACCAGACTTCTCTCCAAGATTTGCCTAGTTGACACAGCGGTAAACAGGGGCAAAGTGCGAAAGAGGATGGGAATGGAAGTGATTTAGGCGTTTTGGTCGCTGGATAGTGAAGGAAATGAATTGCGGTACGTGAACCTCAAACGACTGTTTTCAAGCGCTGGAAGTTGTACTTCGTAGCCCTTGGCTCATACGACAACAGCCCCGGCCTTTCGGCCTACTTCGGCCTTCAGGAGCACACGAACCCCTCGATAGACGAACAGACGTCGAGTCTGGGCACTCGCAGTGCGTTTCTTTTTGTGTTTGCCAGTTCTTGAACCTGGACTTAGTAGCAACTTGCGAAAAGGCATCGGTGCATCAACTATGGTTCACACGTCTCGGAAGGTATATATGATATTATATGATGCGTTTGGGGGGGGCGACGCCGACGTCCATGCGGTCTTCAGCATGGAACGTCTCCCATGTCTGGGTGCCCGGGCCCCTGCAGGACCTCTCGCAGCTCGAGCTGCTGAGCCCTCAGCTCGGTCCACGGTCGACCTTTTCTTGGCGCCCAAGGATCGATGGCTGGGAGAAGACGGGACGTCCAGGACACCTGGAAACCGGTTCGCGGTAAGACATCAAGAAGAACGACCAGATGTTCTCAGAAATGAAAGATGAAGAGGAGCACCGGTGTTCTTTGGGCTTCGTTTGGGGCGTCTACATCTCATTCGTGTTTCTTTTGGGCATGGTTCAAGGCTTGACTTCTTTGGGGCTTCTACGGGATTCTTGGGGCTTGGCTCAGGGTTCTGAGTTGAAGGGGAGTGACGGGGAAGCAAGCGGTAGGGGAGGGAGTGCGGAAAGTTTGAAACTTGTAAAGTATGAATCAGTCAGAGCAGAAGGTAGTGGGTCAAGAAGCCTCGATGGGAATCACAAAAAGGGGCCTCTGAGCCCTGAAAGCGGCGAAGACGATGGAGTCGTGAATGAGTCGTCTTCCTTCTTTTTGTTGCAGTATTAGGGTTGGAGGCCATTGCTAGTAGGTTGGAGGCCCTTTGGCTCAAAGGAGTTCATCTCGGCGTTGCTTTCGGGCCAGGCCAGCTGCGGGCTGGGGGCAGCGATCGTGAGAGAGATCGAGTTGCGGCAAGACTGCGGAAGTTGATACCCTAGGCTTCCTGGTCCACCATTAATAGGCGGGTCATCCCGAATCAACTAAGGATTTTACACAAAAACCAGGTCGTTCCCATTTTTGTTGATGGTCGAACGGAAGTCTAGGGGATACCTTCAATGTATAATTTGTTGGATGAATTCGCGGAGAGAATCATCCCGAGGACATGCACCAGCTCCGAATGCGGGGTGTGGAGAAGCAACCCGTCAGCCAAGGAAGCTTTGTTACTCCTCCAACCTACTAGCGATGGCCTCCACCCGAGTAGCTTTGGTCGTGACCAGAAGTCCTCTCGCCACCTGGTCCGTGTGGGCCATGCCGGGAGCGCGGTGGAGAAGCATTCGATGAGGTCTCGATACTTTGGATTGGAAGGGCGAACTGGAACTTTAAAGGGTTGACGAGTTCGTTCTTCCTCAAGGCTTCTTGTTACGTACTCTACTTTCAAGGCCAGGACTTCTAGCCCTATGCATTGCATATGCATGGAATAGAAAACTGTAATCACTGTAAGCTCATAATGTGGACCACATCGTCAACATGCGTACCCTGCCCATCTCTGCCCACCCTCCCGCGGCTCCTAGCACCGGCATGTAGGAATCTCATTCTGGTGAAACAGGTGTAGATAGGCAGCCAAGGCAACATGGTGGGGGTATTGGAGAATTGTGGGTCTACTTCACGACAGCTTGAGATGCGTCTCCATTGAGCTTGGAACCAATCGAAGTTGGCAAAAAAAGAGTGAAAGTTGAGCCAGGCATTGGCAATCCTGTGGCACATCAAAGTCAAGTTGGAAGTGGTTGGTCCAGCTCTTGCTGGATGCTGGAATTGCTTTGTAGGAACATCAAACATGCAAATGCCCCTCACTGGTCTCACAGATTTGGGGGAGAACGTCTGCAAGTGCATCGGTACCATCATCATGTCGGTGCACGGTCATATACGGTACACCATACGGCACACCTACGTGTCGAGGGTTGGAGGCCACTGCTGTGAGTAGAAGACGTTTACAGCGCTCTCGGAGTGTTAGCCAGGTTGGAGGTTGCTCATTCAGTTCTGTGATGGGGAAAACATGTAAGCCCAATCCGATTGTGTTCAATAGACATTGCTATTAGTTGGAGGCCATTGCTAGGCCATGTGTGGTGTGTGCCCGTGCGAACAGCGCCGGCTCGGGGCTCCGGGGCTCGGGTCTCCACACCGAAGGGCCTGGGACCAGGCCTGCAGGACTAGACGTGAGACGAGACGGCGGAGTCCCTTCCAGCCCAGAAAACCGGTGGATGGCATGGAAATGTTGGAGAGAGCCATCTTTCCTCCACGTAGTTCATGTTGCAGGGAGATGCAGGGAGGTATTTGGTGAAACACTTGGACTCGAGTCGCAAGATGAACCAATCCGAAACATGAATGAACGTGTTCCCATCTAGAACTTTCCGTATCCACTCCATTGCACGACTGACTCACCGTTTTCTTCAGTTCTTGTGCGACCTGGGGGGTTTGAGCTATAGGCTATAGGTTACCGCAGTGTTCCCTACCACCAGACAACATATATGTTCGATGAGTCTTGGACGGTACTCTGCCCGAACTACTACTATTTCGTACAGCAAGGGAGTTGGAGTGGCATACCTATATAGGCAGTCACTAGTGAGTCCAAGACTTCACTATCTCTCCAACTACTACCTGTCCGACTGCTCTCTTGGTGACCTGCCGCAGGCGCCGTCGCGAGCCAGGTTGGGGAGCATTTTTGGTTTGCGGCAAACGCACGTCTCGGATCGTTTTAGACCAAATCGAAGGACAATTGTTTCTTTTGTGGACTGGAATTGGTCCAGTTCTTGGTCGCTGGACGATGCCAAAAAACAATGTCGACATGCCTCCGTGCATGAAATCAGCTTAGAGACACTAGGAAACATGAAATCGCATTGACCTTGAAGTCAGAAATTGTAGAAATTCGTAGAATCCTTTGGATAGAACAACAGTGAGTTCCGAACGGGTTTTGGATCAAATGTCTTGAAGACTTACATCTTCAAATGCTGCGGGAAGCGCTCGAACAACATTTAAGGGGCTGCCCAAGGTTTTCCATTTTGACCATGTCCTATACTAGTAGGCTTCAAGATCATCCGTTTGTGACGAAACATGGCTCAACTGCAAAAGCAGCACCAATCAAGCAGGTTTGGATCGAGTCTTCTGCAGTCTGCCCCACCGTCTTCTTGTGACAAACGTGACAGGTGGGCCTTCCATGGCGCATACAGCTGGGCACCCGCAGACCGTTTTTGCGGCATGCCTCTGAAGGTTCCGATGCGGTAGAAGGACTTTGGATGGTTTGGATATGGTTGGATATGTGTCTAAGTGACTTGTTTTGGCTCCGTTCTTGCACTTTCGGTCGGATTGTTGACTGTGTGGCTTGTTGAATCGGGGCGCCATAGGTTTAATGGATCCTCTTTTGTTCTGTCAAATAGTTTGATCATACGTCAGGATTGCTACATGTTTTTCCTGGATGATTTGATGTCTCATTCATTCCCACTTGGCTGTGGGTCAAAACCAAACAGGGCCAAAAATTGGTATGTGGACAGCTGGACTGTTGGGTTCAGAATGTGGTTTCATTCACTCCAAAGGAGTATGAGTATGAGGGATAAGAATCATAACTGTACCACAGAAATCCAAACAAGACCCATACAGATTATTCATGGTAATGAGTGTTTCAGTGTTATTCATTGATCATTGACCAGAAATGTGTTCGACGGGAGGATCGCGACTTGAACAGCAATGGTTCTCCCCAGCAAATGGTCGTTCGGCTTGGGGGGTACCTAGCATAGAACCACCCACACAGTACACCTCCAAGCACCTCTTCAGAAGGTACTTGGACCCTCCAAACCCACTCCAAACACCTTCTCAGAAGGTACTTGGAGGTCTAGGGTATGCTTATGATAGATCACTAGTGTTCCTATGGCTATACAGTCTCATACATGTTGATGATTCAACAAGATGCTTGTTTATGAATCATAGTCATAGTTGTTGATGCTTAGACGTTATGGTTAATCGGCCCACGTAGGCGTTTCCTTGGCACTTCCCAAATGAAATAAGTGCTATAAAGCAAGCAGGTATATGGTTAGTTTAGGCTGGGCCATGCATATGGCTCTTGAGTTGAACATTGGGAACTCGCCCCTCCGATATCCTTCACATATCCTCCTTGCGCTCTTTGTGTTCCGCCGCCGCGGGATTATTTCGGTTCACCCGAAAGGAGGATCATCTCGGGGGATGGGGGCGCCCACCTGGGTTGTCTTGACCCTTTGTCATAGATAGAAAAATAGATCCCCAATGTAGACAGGAAACGTGCCACGAATACTCTTTGGGGATAACTATAAAGCAAGGTTGTCGTCGCCTCAGTTCTGGCTTCACACTTAGTTGCTGTTTCTATCTTTTTGTGTCAACTGCTTGGTTTGGAAGTTGGGTCTGTGACTTTTGTTTTGGAAGCAGACGATTAGCGGGTCACTTCCTGCTATGTATCCCAGCTTGGTGGAGCTGGACCAAGCTTTTTGGATGACGTTCGGCTCACGTCGAAACACCTT